AGCAGTTTTGTATATTTAACCACCTAGATTTAATTAGTTCTTGGCAGTTATTTACATAAAAGAATAGCTATGTTATTTTCAACACCCCACTTTATCGATATTTTAACGTTTTTCTAAAATCTGGTCTCTTTGTCAGTGTAGTGGCATCGACCTATTTTAATTTCTCGCTCGAGTAAGTACATAAGTACGATAAAATATATTGTGGAACTAATTACTTTTATTCTAAAGAGCTACTACACAGCGTTATGTGGATTATATGATTTACTTACTAAATGACGCTCTTATATGATGAGTAATTATATTTTTTTAAATTTATAAATTATATAGATATTTAAAGTATTTGTAATTACGAGTAAAAACTCAATCATCAGCCTATCGAGCCCACCCAAAGGAATGCCAACCGTCCCGGTCTTGGGCAGTCCGCATCCATCCGCTGTCAGCCACTTTCAAGTCATCGGTAAATTTGAAATCAAACTTACGGCCCCAGAGGTCGTGGGTTTGATTCCTTAGGGTCACTAACCATTAGATCAATAGGCTAGTCAATTGTCACCTCACCTAAGTTGAATACCAGATGATGTAAAATTATGAATTATTAAAGAAGAGAAAATAATTATTAAATAAACAAAAACGGCGTGAGGGGTCTATGAACTACCGGTGGAAATAAAGTTTCTTTAGCTTTTTATGTTTATTATGAAATATGAGAAACGAATGAGGGGTCTATGAAGTAGCGTCGGCAAAAAGTCTTGTAACACATTTTTCGGTATCGCTCCCATCCGCTCAAAGCGTGTAACTCGCGATAAGGAACTTCGTTTCAAAAAAAGATGTGAACTTCGACGCGCCAACCAAAGTATCGAAAAAAAAGTCTTGTTACACATTCTTCGGTCTCGCTGATCATTGCTATCCCATCCCGATAAGGAACTTCGTTCCAATAAATGAACATAATAGGCTTGAACAATAATTTCTAATTTGATAGCCCTATTAAAAGTTAAGTTTAATGTTACTAATTTCCTTTAATTATGGAATAGAGTTCCCTCATTTTGACACCTTACCTAACTCCCTCCACCTCCCCATCGTAACTTCGAAGCCAAAAAGCATTCGAAAGAATTGCTTTCCACTGGTTTTCTGTAAGTCGATCATCTAATGGTCGATCCTGGTTCCGATCCTGGTTGAAATGTATCGAAGCATATTATTTAAAAATGCTGACATTCTCTATTATGGAGGTGAACATCCGTGATGATGCTGGATGGACGTGAACTTTGCTCCTTAAACAATCCGATTGTTATCACTTTAGGCAAGTGAAATTAAAACACTATACATTATTAGTAAGATAATAAAATTGTTCAAAATAATAACAAACCTGATAATAATGAAATAGCAGCAGTATCTCTTATGTGAACTTACTGATGAACTTTATTGCAATCGTGACCTTGAGTGGGTCAGTGTACGAAACAGCTGATTTCGTTGTTTTTTTGTAGTTATGACTATCTAACATAATACATGTAATGTAAACACATTATAATGATACATTTGTTCATAATTTATAAACACATATCACTATGCTGTAAATAATATAGCTATATAGCATAATAATATGAATAAAATAAATAGGTATTATTTATTACAGTATAGTTATTAATTTGTTTACGAAATATGTTTTTAAATATATTTATGTAATTGATTATGATGCGTATTCTTTAATAGAATAGGCTTATAAATATAACACATTATCATGAATTCTAAACTATACAAATTCTTTATAAATGACACGGAAAGGAGGATGATTCGATTAATTTAATAGACTGAGAGCGAAACAATAAATACCTACCTATTGAAGTAACATTAATTTCGCTTAAACATTGACGACGATCCACATTCTGATTTTTTACTGAAAAAGCGGACATCTTATTTTTTTTACATTAATCGATAAACGAAATCGTTTTCAGTGGAAGAGTAGAACTCAACAACAACCAAATCAAAAACCAAAATTATCTTAAAAACTTTAGAAGGTTGTAGTTCTTAAATGCTACGGCATTTGGAATTGTGTTTTTTTTTTATTGGTGATGCTTTTTTTGATAGACTGTAAACCATAGAAAATATGTAGGATCCCAATTTTTCCTCAAAAAGGAATTAAAAAGAAAATACTTTAATGTCAAATGTCTTACGTTTAAACCTCTTTTCTAAGGAGAGGCCTATGTCCAGCAGTGGACTGTTAAAGGCTGTTGATGTGATGTGATGTGAAAACAACAAAAAAAATCTCAGTTTTTTTTGTTGTAAACAATTATGTTTGTTAATAATTATGTGTCCTCATCATCTGCCTACCCTTTTCCCAATTTTATTTGGGGTCGGCGCAGTATGTATGATTTTTCCATTCTACTCTGTCATGCGTCATCTCACTGTTTACTCCCTTCCTAGCCATATCCTCCCTGACGCAGTCCATCCACCTCTTCTTCGGTCTGCCTCTTCTCTTGTACCCTTTAACTCTCATACCTAAAACTTTCTTCGCCACATTTTTCAGTTTTATAAATTTGTCCCTTCAGTGTTAAGGGGAAACTGGGGTCACAAGTTGTTCCCTTAACTGCCGCCACTTCATCCATCCCATATTGATTCGATGCTGTACAGTTCGATCAATCTCACCATCACATTGTAAGAGGGAGCCGAGGTACTTGAAATTGGAGCAGACTGTTATCGCTATCCCAGACAGCGCAATGGTTTCAGGACTGGAGAGACCGCTGAAATCGCAGAACATGTACTTAGTTTTGGTTCTGCTGATTTTCAAGCCAACATTCTCCAGCCTTTGCTGGGGTTTTTCCAGTCTGCTCTGGACCTCAACCCCATCTTCACCGACCAACACAATGTCATCTGCAAATAGCATGCACCAAGGTGCCTCCTCCTGTATGTCCGATGTCAGAGCATCCATTATCAACAGGAAGAGGTATGGGCTCAGAGCTGATCCCTGGTGCAAGCCTATAGAGACACTGAATTGATTAGTGTTTTCCGTGACCGACCTTACATGAGTGCTAGACTCTCTGTACATAGCTCGAATCAATTCTACATACTTTACGGGCACTCTTTCTTCTTTCAAAGCCCACCACAAAACCTCTCGGGGTACCCTATCATAATAATATGCCTTTTCGAGATCCACAAACACTATATGCAAGTTTTTGTGCGCACTCCTGTATTTCTCACATCCTATAAGCAATATAAAGTATTATTTCTTAAAGTAAAAATATTTTTTATATTTGCCATAGTAATACTTTAATGTCAAATGTCTTACGTTTAAATCAAAATTGTCGCTCCGCAGTTCTACTCTTCCATTATAAACGATTTCGTTTATCGATAAAGTAAAAAAATTAAGATGTCCGTTTTTCGGCCAAAAACCATAATGTGTGATCTAACAATGGTTTTATTATCCAATTCAATATTTTTTCTTTTTGTTCTTATAATATGCATGTTTAATACATATAAATCACTCTTGAATCACTCTCTCCATTCGTGCAAACCGCATTAAAATTCGAAGATAGAAAAAAAAACAATTTTATTTTATACCATGTAGCGATCCGAACCGGCTTCGCACGGGTGCAATGTTATAGATACCACTACTAATGTGGTGTCAGTGTGGAGTAATTAATTATGCTATTATTATGATAAGACTATACTACATTACATCTTTATACGCAATATTTATAGGCCTTCTGCGCTGATGCTAGCCGCTGCCACCCGGGACGGGTTTACGCGACGGCCCCTTTGTCCCCGCGTTTTAAATCTCTGATATCTACTAAGATATTTAATTAATTATATGCTGTAAGAGGCAATTTTAATCTATATTAATTGCACAACGTATCTAACGTATTTATTTGGATAAAGAATAATACTGTATTGTTCAAAATAGCTTCGTAAATTACTCTTTTTTTAATATTTAAAAAGATACGAGTAAAAATGGTTACTGTGGTTTATCCTTAGTAGATAGACAGTTATCCTTGTTATATACTCAGAAACAGCCCGATCGATGTTCACCATTATAACTCCATAATAACGCAAGACCTCAAGAATAACGCAACACTGGACTAGAAACCGTAACTTGTAACTCTACAGGAGCTGCAGTTAGAAACCATACGTGATATTCGCCTTTTCGCCATATGTCACATCTTAGAAAAAACGAGTTTCTAATCGCCAATTTCATACTTTAGCCCTAATATATGTATAAGATGGAATGGAAGTCGCATAGTGAAAATTCGTAATAAATTAGCCTTGTTATCTGTGTATTAGGACGCTATATAAAAGTTTCGGTAAAATCATATTTTATTAAAGCATGCTTAAAGTAATTTGAAACTACTCCAAACCCAAAAAGTTAGAATTTTGATTGAATTTAATTTTTTAACACTCAAAAATCTTCAAAGAAACGGCCAACGAAGCTTACTCATGTTTTGCTAATGGGTATCCAATCCAATGGGTATCGGTGGTGCGGAAAGTCTGTAATCTAATAGGTATGTAAGGTGTCGTGGCCACGATCTTCAGCGTCAGTGCAACAAAGATGAACTAAAATGCATAAAGGTAAGCAAACTATACCTAGACGCAACTAATTTTGTTTTCTATAATAACAAAATGTTAAATTGCAGGCAGTTAGACTGTTTTTCGATTAAAGTATAATACAACATTAAGTCAGAGTTATTAAGCTCAATGATATGATAACAAGTTGCATTCGACTCCATGACGTTAGTTCGTTAAACTATACTTATCGATGCCAAATAGGGTTTATACCCTTTGAGAAGTATATAAGCCAGTGAGACTTGTTTACATTGCAACAGTCTGAAGAGGAAGATGAAGACACTTACAGTAATATTAACCACTTTAGTATTAGTTACCAATACTTCGGGGTATTTTATAAAAATACCCACACAATCCACATCAACTGTAACGGGGACAGGTGAGGTTTACTATTTTTAGACATCTCTCAAAAAATGAAAATATATTTTAAAAGTTTTAATTATATTAAAACTAAAATGGTGGATGGTAATGCTTTCCTTTTTTTATTCTTCTTGGTAATGACATACCTACTTGAATGAGCGATTGTTTAATATTCTAAAATCTAGAATACACTCATAAAATCTTACATTTTTAATAAAAAGTCGTAGATTATTCCTATCCATCCAAATACTATTATATTTATAGATCAAACCATTAATATAAGATTAATGTGTTAAACATTTAAGTTTTGCAGCTGTGCAACTATAACTTCGTGATATGTTTCATTTCATGAATAATATAATGACTCAAATAAATCGTAGAGTCATGCTTATTATTGGGGCTACCATAGCAACATGTTATAGTCTTTGATTTTTGCTGAATCAATATGCGTCTGAAGTAAAGTTCTCAATATTAACTCTGATAACTCACCATACCATCTTACGGTGTAGGGAAATTCGAAAAAGTTTAAATTTTTAATTTAAATATTTATAGACCACTCACAATGGGTATATCTCCAGAAGCTGATGCTACCGCTATTTGAAAACGTTTGCGAAACTAGTAAGAACCTAAATATTTGCACATTGGCTCAAGAGTTCAATCTCAACACAACAGATTACATGGCAAGTTATTTTTTTTTGAAATTTAAAGAATTGTAAAACTGAAAATAGTAACTGTACATATCTTAATATTCATATTATTTTTTTCAGAAACCCGAGACAGTTAAAAGCTTACAAAATCTTATTGCATCTGGTTTATTAGTCAAAGGTGAAATATTTTCCGAGTACAACATAACGCATATGAACGAATTGAAAATAATTTATGACGTATTATTTAATGCTAAAGATTTTGATACTTTTTACAAGACAGCAGCTTGGGCACGTCAAAATTTAAACTGTGCGTTATACGTAAATGCACTTTACATGGCCATACAACATAGAAAAGACACAGAAATATTATCCATTCCAGCACCGTATGAGTTATTACCAAATTATTTTATAGATCAATACGTTATAATACAAGCAGCAAAATTTTTTGAGAAGGACTATAGTAATTTAGTTGTACGTAATGAAACTATTCATAATGAGGGTAATTCCTATATTATCGATGCTAACTACACCGGCCTCTTTTATGATAACGACGATGAATCTAAATTAGCTTATTTCCGTGAAGACGTCGGGTTAAATTCTTATTACTACTTAATGAAACTAAGAATGGCACCTTGGTTTAACGATAATGTGAATGATAAATTTGGTGAAAATATGTTTCAAATGATGAAACAATTTATAGCGAGATATAATTTGGAAAGATATGCCAACGGACTACCTGCAGTGGACAGTATTACCTGGGATACTCCAGTCAACGTTCCTTATAATCCTATGCTAATGTATTCTAATGGAGTCGAGTTTGGTCACAGAACGTCATCTATAGAATTGTCAGAAAATGAAAACGTACAACAACTGCAAACAATTGAAAACAATATTGCCGCTGTCGTGGATCACTTGGTGTGTAATGTTCATTTATTTCTTAGTAAGAGATTTACAAACGTTTATTATGCTTATATATTATTATACCATTTCAGCATCAGCGAGGATATAATAAAACACACATATTAAATCATCTGATGGAAATTATGGTAACGGGTGACAAAAGCTATGAGAGGTTAGCCAGGAAGCTTCTGGGCAAGAATGCACCTAATAATGGGTAAATACAAAAAAAAAATACATTTGGATTTAGAGAGTAGTTGCGTAATGAATAATATCACACTAATATTTTGTCATATTGATGTTTCAGGCAAACATCTGTCTTGGACCACTACATGACTTCGCTTCGTGATCCAATATTTTGGAATATAAATACAAAAATAGTAACTATTATAGATGAAGCTCTTAAACTTTTGCCAACCTACACCAAAAATGAATTATTTTTCCCTGGAGTAGAAATTATAAATATCGACGTGAAAAAGATAATAACAGCATATGATTACTTTACTTTTGACGTCACAGATGCACTCAAAGCAGAAGAAACTGGGTTTAGAATCAAAATTGGGCAACCGAGATTAAATCACAAGCAGTTTACTCTCAAGGTTAATATTTCATCCTTGGTATCTCAAAAGGGAATGATGAAAATATATTTGGGACCCCAAATAATGCCTGGCGAACTAGCAATAAAAAAACATCTTTTCATGTTGCTTGACATTTGTCAAGTCAACCTTAAAGTTGGAACAAATATAATAACTAGGACTCCAGAGAATATGGATCTCTTTTCTGAAGATTTTAATATGCTTAATACACTACAAAAGAATGTGGAAAATGCAGAATTTGGATTAGATTCATTACCGCCTAAAACAATTCTATCGCAGGTTGGATTTCCATCAAGACTTATGTTACCTAAAGGAACTGCACAAGGCCTACCTCTTCAATTATTTGTCTTTATTGCTCCCTATATAAAAGCTGGTATTGACGAATCATATTCTACAAATAATTTTAAATTTAATACTGCCATATTATCGCCTGGATATCCACTTGATTTGAACATACAAGACCAACAGTTATTTCAACTACCAAACGCCTTGATAAAATACATCACTGTAGTGCAAAAGGGGGAGGGTAAAGTGGAAAATTACGGAGGGCCTGGTATAACTAGATCTTGGTACATTACAAATACCTATGATTCATCTGCTAGGCCAAATTATCCAACAAAGAATCAACAATACGGAAATAAAAAGGAATATTCTTCTAAAAGTTATGAAATCAGAGATACTTTAAATGACTTCAAATCCGATCAAGAAAATATAGAAAGTGATTATAATACAATATATCGTGAACACAATGAATCTAATCTACGTATGAACTATAAAGGAAACAACTATTCTCCAAAAAGAGAGCCGTATGACTATAAAGCAAAAAAGGCTGAGTATGAGAAAAAAGATTATGCTGCAAAAAGAAATTTCACTAAATATCATACAATAACCAATAACGAGAATAATATTGTTGAATCTACTACTGCGACCGATATTATAAGTAGTAGTGAAAACGACTTGTACGATATTTTTAACAATCTGCTACCAAAGAAATCTTACCAAGAAAATGACACTAGAAACGAAACTGAAATTCCTGAAACAAGAAATACTCAAGAGGATTTCTCTGAATATGCAGTCACTTCTAGTACCAGCAATGCTTAAAAAGGGTGTGTTTTTTGTTTATGATTTTATATTTAGTTCTTTTGGTTTTTATAAAAGCAAAAGTGTTTGTATAGAAAAACCAGTAGGTTTTCAATCAAATTTCAAAGAATATGCTCGAATGAAAATATGTCGTTATTTATTTACCTATTTTATATGTTAATTAGTTTTTTATGCTTCAGATTCTGAAGGAGAAAAATTTAACTATAAAGTGAAGAAAACTGAACGAAATTGCAAAATAAAACAAAAGAAGACAGAGTTAGATAATTTGATCAAAGATGCCGAAATGAAACATTAAATCAAAAACAATTATGGTGTAATAAAATCAGACAACAAAGATCTAAAAATCACTGGTGCAATTAATATTGACATTGACCAAAGCTTGGAGATAGTAGATTATAAGGATATAAACAACATATTTTTTGAAACAAATGACATAGCTTCAAAAATAGAATTACAAGTGATTCAAGGGCTTTTTTACAAAAAGATAAAATGGCTTCAGAGGTTAAAGACGCACCATTATTATTAACCAAGATGCAAAATAAGTACAAAAACGAGCAGAGCATCTAAAAATGCTTTAGAACAAGAATTAAAAAATTTTTTTAGTCATAAACCATTATAAATTACTTAATTTCATTCTATGACGATATTATATTTACACATACATATGCATTAAAATATTTTAATTGTATATAATTTTTATTCTTTCATTTGAAAGATCAGTACCGTTTCCTCTCATTTTGTTTAATAGAAAATAATTACCTAACATTGTTAAAATTTTGATAAACCATTAATCAGAGGAACTTAAAATATCCTTTAAAAATACCTACAGGAAAATTAAAACTGATTTGTAGATTTCCAAATATGGTTTGGAAACCAGCCAATCCGTTTTAACTAAACTAAATCGATACAAACAATTTGATAAACCTAAAAGCTTTTAGTAAACTTAACTTTAATTTAAATTTACTAAATGTCACGATATTATACAATATTAAGAGAAATCAATCACTAACACATTACGAGTATAGCAGTAACACATTTTGTCTAATAACCTATTATTATATCTGACTGCATGGATGGCGTTGTGGTTTAAGTGGTCGGCATGCCGCTTTCTACTGTGCTGAGTGTTGTGGGTTCGATCCATACATGGGACAACACTTTGTGTGATCCATAAATTGTTGTTCTAAATCTGGGTATTCTTTGTGTCCGTTTTATTTACATAATGTTTATAAAGTCCCCCGCGACAGGATTTTTTTCTTAATGTTTTTTTTTTTAATAAAAAAAGCCGGTGAGGTACGAGTCAAACTCGAGTACCCAGATTTTACGTAGATTTTTTGGCAAAAAGAAACGTCTTACAGCACAAATAAAGAAAAAAGTTGAAAACTAAGATAAATTTTGGTACTTACAAGTTTTCGCGAAAATCGAAAATTGCCCATATATTTTTATCGCGTTGACTCAGGACCTTGAGTTTTATACACCTAACAGGGACCATAGACCTCAATATCTCAAATAAATTTCAACTGGCTAGGTCTACCCGTTCCCGAGAAAATCAGTGGTGACACACGGGCAGACGGACAAGAAAGTAATCTTATAAGGGTTCCTTTTTAGCTTTTGAGGTACGGAACCCTAAAAACAAGAAAAATATAGACTATAGAACTAGAATGGAAATATTAAAACACACACAGCACATACGGTTGATATTTAAATAACTATATAACAAACCAAACCTTTATTAAACAAGGAAAGCCAATGCACATTATTGCTATTTCGCGAGGTTTTCTATCATTATTTTTGGATGCGTTCCAACCATTTTACAACACGTTACGCTTTCCCTATTTTCATCGCTGAAAATTTAAAAACCATCGGTCACTACTGTGACAACAGCTAGAATACAAATTGAAAATACTTTTATAGTTGATTACAATGTTTTTACGAAACCGACGTTGCAGTCATTGTATGTTGATAACTAATAATAATGCTCATCAGAAATGCTTGTAAATTTTGAAACTTGCTACATTTAGACTGATCTAACCTGATTATCTATATATTAAAAAAAATGAAAATTTTTCAACATAACAAATCAAATGTGATCAGAAAAAGCGATATCTATATTCAATACAAATTTTCAACATACGATTACGTAAATTGAAATTCATGCATACCTGCAAATAATATTTTCTCAATACATAAAAATAATTCGTGCACTAATTCATACATTGCTCATAACTTACTTTAATCTTTTATTTATACCTTTTTTTTTGTTTTTATTTTCATAAACATACCCAGAAATAATATGATAGAACATCACATATGTTTTAAACAAAAAATCTCTACAATTGATGAATGTAACATAAAATGGAAATACAAGACAAAGTACCTGTAAACTATTTACAGAGTTATTTACGTTTGGCGGTTGAATATCATCTGGGGTAATTCTGCAAGGAAAATTAGATGTTCCGTGCCAAAATGAAGTTATATTTCAACTCCATTGACGCTGAATGATTCAGGGTGCGTTGCCGGCAACTCTGTGACAAGTTTTGGCTATGATTACCAATTATTTTGATTGTGGAATGTTAAGTCTGTGTAAATTAGTCACCTGTCGGCTACGCATCGGCAAATAAATTTAATAAGTCCCTGCCGCTGCATCTGAGTGTGACCGCTTGTAAAATTATTAGCGCAACTATTTACGATAATGTCATTTCCTTCAGATGGGTAATCGTCATAAATAAGCTATGAAGCTTTATTATGCCATCAATCTAAATTATACATATATATTTAGTGGCTATCTTATTACTTTCGTCGGTACTTCATTAGCGTTTAGAATAGTGAAATTAAAATTGAGTAAAAGATTGTTAAAAGGACGATATTTCTCAATTTTTTTACTGCAAACTGAAAAATTCACACTTCTCATTATGTTAAGGCTGTTAAGGTTGTCAATGTAACCGTAGATACTTGGTTGTTTCGTTTGAGGTGTTACTATAATTTATTATAAAATTTAACTTTCAAAATTACGAAGTACCTATTAAATTTAGTAAAATACAATAAGCACTAATTAATAGAACAAATTCTGGTCACTAAATTTGCAATATACTAAAGGGTCGAATTGAATTGTAAATATGACGGTTTTTACTAATTGCTCAAATTAACTCATTAGATTTAGACATTACATTACATTTTCAGTTGCATAAAATTTACGTAGAAAAAAGTGAAATACAACAAATTACCTATAACACACTACACTTACCTATTTTTATATTGTCATCCATACTTATATTATAAATGTGAAAGTGAGTTTATTGGTTTGTTACGCTTTAGAGCCTAAACGGCTGAACCGATTTAAAGAATTCTGTTGTAAATGGAAAGCTGATAATGTATCAGCGAGTAACAAAAGTTACTTTTTAACGCGATAACCGACAACACGCGGGCGAGGCCGCGGGCATAAGCTCGTAGTAAACACACTTAAATTTTAAGATATCAAAAACATGTTTAAACAGAAAGATACCTCTTTAACAGATTAAGTATAGCTTCTTTATCTTTGATATCTCACAAACCAAAACGTAATACGACTATTAGATAACATGTACATTATCCTTCTCTAAACTTTTTTTACCGAGTGATTTAAAAATAAACGTGTAACCTGACCTAATTTTAGTGTGTATTGTTGTTTTAAAACGTTCCACTTAGTGAACATGTAAAGCGCGACTCAGATTAGATGTTTCTCTCATTGTGGCAAACACATGAGAACACAAAAATTATAGCCGATCACCGACAGTCTATATCTGCGCGGGCGGCGCTGTATAACCCGTTTCACGCGCCAGTGGTTGCCAATCATCGGCCTTCACCAGCATAGTGTTGTTGGATGCATAATATTTAAAAATATACTGGATTAAACCAGAAAACGACATGTTTAATGAGATAACTTACTTTGTAATTTCGATATATTTATGCTTTGTTTAGTATTATAGCTAAAATATTGTGTACCTCTTTAAATTTTGAAAATGTCTCAGTTCAGTTTAAGCATCAAATTACTTTTGTAGTATTACTTACGGGTGAAACTCTCTTTTATTTCATATAATAAAGCTTACTCGATAAAATGTACGTGATGTCACATTTTAGTTATAAACAAAAAAACGTGTGGAAATGTTGTAAGCATCAGACGGTGACGTTGCTGCACGTAATCTTCTCGTTGGGATTGTTATGAATCGGCGGCCGCATCAAAGGAATTTCCTGCTCTTAATCAAGGAACAACTTTATATGCGCATCAGTTTCTGTTACGCTTTAAACTGGAAGTTTTAGAGATATTCAATTCACATGTTTTCTTGATTGCATCAAGTTCATAAATAGCCAATTCTGATGCAAACATTTCAGTGCAAAATTCTTATAAGTTACACAAATCTCTTATAAATTATGATCATTTGTCTAGTGGTGAAAATGTATGTATTTAACTAACGTATATTCGCTAATAGGTAAACTAACTTGATCTATGCTTGAGAATATCACTTTTCGAATAAATGCAATACTAGATTTTTAGAGCGGCTCCGTCCCCGTGAATGTTGGTTATCGCAGTAAGCCAAGACTATATCGTTAAAGCGTAACAGACAGAGACGGTTACTTTTGCATTTATAATATTAGCAGGGATAATAGAAACGATATTTATTGATAGGTAGGGTAAAATTTTGATACTTAAAATAACTAACTAAAGGCAATCCAAACATAATATTATGAACGGCATTATAGAAATATTTTAAAAACATTTTGCAATAGGTAACAATAAACTTATTATTGTCAACTGTTGAAAACTGTAAGACAAAATTTACTTACTACTAGCTTTTGCCCGCGGCTTCACCCGCGGGTATGTCTGTCAACACTGTAAAAAGTAGCCTATGTTTTTCATCAAGAATCAAAATCCCTCCATACAAAAATGTATTTCAATCGGTTCGGTTATTGATTTGCCATACATCCATACAAACATCCATCCCCTTTTCAGCCCCTTGATGGATGATTTCTGGGATAAAAACTATCTTATGTCATTTTCCGGTATTCAAAGTATCGCTATTAACTATTTAAGCAGGAAGAGGTAACAGACGGACAGACTTGGGCATTTATAATATTAGTATGGATTTCAAGGAAAGCAGTCTAACATGGTCTATGTTATAATTAAAGTAACAATAATACTTGATTCAGATTTAATTAAAGTTACAATAATTAAAATTGAATTTATGAAATAAACAGTGGTTACGTCACTAAAGTTGAGTCACAAATACTTCAGAAGGAATGTGATTTAGATTTAGCAACACAAAACATGATAATATAAATGCATCTGTCCGTCCCTATGAGTGAATCGATATCAATTAGTATATAAATCTGACATCTTGCTTCTTTAGCATGCAGGTAAACAAACATTCTAAACATTCTAAATTTCTGACGTCGATATACTTCACGTTGACGAAGAACCAACTAGCAACGTCATTATTCTGAGCCCATACGGTAAAGAGAGAGATAGCAGATTTTTCAACTTATTTTTGTATTCCAGTCCGAGGAGGAAGGAATGCTATAAATAAGGGTGCTATGTCGACGTAAAATCTAGTGTAACAACACTCGCACTCGGTTTCGGTTCTTGTTACAACTGCCAACCCCACACAACCAATATGGTGAGGACTTACAGGATTTCAAGGTCTAATGGACGTGCATGTGAAAAAAATTTAAAGTGTTAAAAATTAAAGTGCTCAATATTCAGTTAAAATAGTTCTAAAATAGATTTTAACGTATTTTAAAGTGAAAATGATTTTATAAGTCTGATGATGTTTCATAAAACTATCTAATACTCATTGTCAGCTGAAGAGTACTTAAAGAAAAAAAATAACAAATAAATATCCAGTGACTTTGATGGACTGCAGCTATGACGTAGAAAGTTTTATTTACTCAGTGTAGAAAAAATCTGCACTGTTTGTCATTTTACAAATAGCGTTAGATACTTACCTTACTTTGTTATTTTTCCAGGACACTGATGACGATCAAAAAATGGCCATGCTCCGCAAGGCATTCCAGATGTTCGATACAACCAAGTCTGGCTATATCGATGTTTTGAAGATCTCCACCATCCTCAACACCATGGGACAGTTGTTCGATGACTCTGAACTTCAGGCCCTCATCGGTGAAAATGACCCGGAAAGTGAGTACCATGGTTTCTGAAATATTCATCCCATAATTAAATTTACAATACTTTAAATGTGATCTAACATTACAATACTAATTATGTTTACAAAATATTCATATTTAGCAAATCTGATATGAAAATGTATATACCAACGTTAATATTTGTAAGCAAGTTTGAAAGTTTACACTTTGAAGTGTTTACATTAGTATAAACATATTTCAATATTATGTGAATAGCCTTAATCCTAAATTGCTCATTAAACTAATCTGGACTCTAAATAGCTATGATATTACCATGTAATTTAAGTATTTGTTGGTGGTTTTACTTAAACACCACTAGAGAAACATAAATATTTATCTTACTTCATTTTTTCTTTGAAGCAGATTTATAGAGGTTTTATTAGTAAATAAAAAAAGCAGTATTTTTTTATTATTATAAGTCTATGCACATTAAAACTTTGAAGACGTATTGACTCAGCTATTTTATAACAAATGTTGAAGTTGAATGAAAATTGAGAGAATAACACTTTATAAACCATTAGAAATGAATAAAGCGCTGCAAGATTCTTGTTAAAAATGAATCAATCATCGAGATACGCTAACTAGGAGCATCGCGTACCGACACTGCGACACCTTTTCAAATACACACTCGAATATTTTTACTCGTCGCTGGTACTAATGAGGCTATTTCTGTACGGTTTCTCCTGCTTCTAGTACCATTGAAAGATGCATGTCTCAGACTTTTCTTGTCTTGTTGTATAGTTTCAGTGATTGAAATGTGAAGTAAAATAATCATAATCGAAGTGTAATTTTCTTTTCTTTAGATTCAGGCAAAATCAATTTCGATGGTTTCTGCAATATTGCTTCTCACTTTTTGGAGGAGGAAGATGCCGAGGCTATGCAACAGGAACTGAAAGAAGCTTTCAGGTAAGGTGCATCAGAAGAGGTCATCAGTTTTATAGACGGTCGTTTTTGTTACTACAATTACAAACCTTTCTCCTACAGATTATACGATCGCGAAGGCAATGGTTATATTACCACATCCACTCTTAAAGAGATTCTGGCTGCTCTGGATGACAAGCTCAGCTCTAGTGACTTAGATGGCATCATCGCTGAAATCGACACTGACGGTTCCGGAACCGTTGATTTCGATGGTAAATATTTGTTTTCGGTTTGTACAAAAGCACAAATGAACACAACATTGTTTTATCTATTTTAAATAGCTCACATGTTCTGAATTTCACTATAGTATTATTGAAATATCAGACTGGAGGTCTGCCCACATTTTGTCAAGTCGCCAAGACGAGCCTTTGCAGTTGACACGCTGTTACCTGATGTCATTTTGCAGACATAAATGTCAATAGCATGAATATTAAAATTTGGCCACGTCTCAATTCACACTGTTTATTATAGCAATATATTTCAAAAACCGTTAAACATTCGCGCAACTAAGACAGTCCTAATCCAATTTGATTAGCCAGCTTGGTTTTGGAATCGTATCAAAGCATTTCATATAACGCTTTCTGCAAGAATAGTGGAACGCTTGCCTAGAAATTCTTTCTGTTTAAATTTAATTAAAACATGTTTTTTTTGGTGATTTACTTCAAGTAACATTTTTGTGCCATAAAAACTTTTCAAATGTGTAATTTTTAACGTTTGATCTTACAATTCTCTGCATGTCCTCAATAGTCATCACTTTTATCTAAGCCGTAGTGCACATAAAATATATTTATAAAGTAAATATCAGTAACAGTTCGACTTCGACTCTAAATTGCCGTGAAAAGTAAGTTAATATTTCTGTCAGCATTTAAGATTCAATTAGTTAAAATAAGAGACAAAAAATTCAAACCGAAAACTAATAAAAATGGTTTTAAACGGAACTGATAGTTTCTGAGATTGGCGTTCAATGTGTGTTAACAATAACAAGGCTTAAGTCTTCGGCTTTGGAAAAGAAAATAGTCACGGTTCCACATTTTTAACATATCGACAACTGTAATATGGCCTCCAATAGGATTTTTCAAGACAAATAGTCCGGTAGTAAGCTACAAATGGTAGAAAATTTACGCGAACTTAAATCTTACCATAAACTCCACTTGCAAATCTTTCTAAATCAAAATTGTCCCCCCTTGACTTTATTCCATTATCTATTTTTAACAGTCACCACAGTGCCAGCGACCACCATACGGTATACCTATAACTCAGCTTCCTAAACAATGTAAATATATCAAATTCACTTACTCCTTATAAGTTTAACTAGCTAGTTACCTTTGACAGGTGATATTCATATAAGTGCAAAATAATTTGCCATATTAAATTTGAGATAGTACTTTATTAACAGTTTTTTTGTATTGTTACAGAATTCATGGAAATGATGACTGGAGATTAAGCTGAACGTCAAACTTAATTATACTATAGTATTATTAAATTTAGCTGCTATGTTCTAGTTTTTAAAGATAAGACTTTGACACTAGTACAAAACCAATTGCGGTGTTAGCATGGTTGTTTAAATAGGCTATGTGATTTCTCTATCTTATAGATAGGCACTCATTATTTGAAGAAAGCTTATAAATATAGACCAGGAATCTTTGGGTTTGTTCCAATGAATTATTTCCGGAATAATTCACACGTATCAAATTCATCAACAATGATAATATATGCTAATATTTATAACGCATGACAGTTTTATATAAAATATTCTAAATAATACCACTATATTATATACATCCAATATACACAACAACAGTCTTTTATTGTAGTTTCACTTGGCTGCCCTTCACCCAATTATTCCTGCGGAATTTTACTAGTACAAATAGATTCGGCACTGTTCAGAGTAGTGGGCATATTTTGGCTTTGTTGATCAAAGGTACAAAAATATTACAGCAAAACCGTGCCTAGTGATTTATTATGATTTATATATCCGCGGCGTCTTCGTTATATAAGCTTAAATATAAATACCTCGTGTACAGCGTATATTTCTGAGTAATACGGTAATTGTGTTTGAAAGTGAAGAATTGCCTCTGGACCAAAATTAGCCGTGTTCCATGTCTCGCAATTGAAAAATTGACCAATTGCATTTTGCTTCCTGTGAATATGGTACAGCTGAGAACACAAATACTGCATTCGTAAATCAACTATGTGAGATAAAGATAGTAATGGATGCTAAATTATTTCTTACAGACATAAACTATAGATTTCCTGGCATAAAATTGTCTTTGGGTGTGAGAAAACATTTAGTTGTAAATATAGACCGCACCGCAAAATATATTGACATACCGAAATCCAACAGACTGATTTTATGAATGATAATTGGCACGCTGAACTGTTTTATGAGCTACGACTATGTATATTACCAATTAATTTCTCTTTTTACTAGCACTATAATTATGTCCTTAGATTTAGAATATGTAAATATTTAATAATTCAAAAATCATCATTATAATAAAAAAATGTCTTATATTCATTCCAATAAACTGTTTTTATTATTTATTCCAATAGTACTATCTATCATATCTACCTATCATATATTTATTTATTTATTATTTATTACCGTAATTTTAATTTAGTTATTTCAACAACGATGCAACTACGCTCTTATTACATCACACTATACAAACATTTACTTCATCATCATCATCACCTCAGCCTATGCTTGTCCACTGCTGGACATAGGCCTCTCCCAATGATTTCCAGAGGGGACGGTTGATTGCTTCCTGCATCCAACATTTACTTACCTGTAGTAATTTATCGTTGTCTCATGATTTGTGAATATTGCTGTCTTCAAGTACAGATACTTGTCTTTATTCCGATAAATGATAGTTTTGACTTAGATAACTATTTGAAATATATGTACATATTGAGATTTATGGCATATTTATATTTGGTTGGAATCTGATTCCGATAGTCTGAAAATGTTTTCTGTTTTTTCTGGTCATAATTGTATTTCCTTTAGAGCTTAGTAGATGTCTGTACATATCTTAGACACATTTTAAACGTATAACGACTGATTTTTAGAACTGCAATGACTTAAAATTCAAACTACGCAATAATTTTATACTTAAAATTAAAACTTACATAACTGAAAAAAACCACACTATTACAATTTCAATTGGTCAATTTTTCTAAACTTCTGAGTAGTGAACTTTAGAAACATACGTAGAAAAACCTTGATCGACAAAGGGTTTTTTGATAATTATGTTTGAATGTTTCTATTTCCAGAATTTATCAAAGAATGAGTGCAAAATTTTGATTGCGACAGCTATAGCACAACTGTGGATATCTTTTATCTAAATAAGTAGACGACCTGATCAAGGTCAAGGTTGGTAACGCACCTGCGACTCTTCAGATCCTAGTGTCTATCGGTGAACTTACCATCAGGCAAACCGCCTGCTCGTTTGACCTTATGCTATTAAATAAATAGGTAGCATCACCCCTTTGAACGAATAAGGATTTTTTTGGTTATGTCTTCCAATGTATATAACTTAAATACAATGAAATTTTTGCAAAATCAAATCGACTTATGCAAATTAATGGAGGTGACAACTGCAAAAGAAACTGTGATCATGACTGTACAATGAAAATTGTGTCCATTAAGCCGACCCTCAGGATCTCAATTGGATCAGGAGAAATACGTTATGAGGTCTCGTGTGCATATAAGCCATGTTTAACTATTTATCGCCACTAGTTGCTTGCAGTGACAGCTATAGTGATGTTTGGAATCACGGTGATAATATGGATAGTTTGCATAGAAATGGCCCGATCAGCCCCAACGGATGAATTCCTCGGTGTCATCAATGAAGCAGGTATGCCTCCAGGAGCTATTTGATGTTCAGGATTAAACATAGTTAATATTCTGTACAATACGTACCTACATGAAATTAGATTAAAATAATTCTTTGTTTATTTGAAAAGAGGAAATGACCATCAAACTGAAAAACAGAAAATATAGTTCAGATTATTTACAGCAAATGATTTTGTAAAGATTATTACTCATTATAGTTTAGATAACGACACTGTAACACTCACCCACACACACACACACACATACTTACACTAATGACATCTTTAAGATTTACAGTCACTTTACATTACGCACATTAAATTACACCTGAATCATAAATATAAATAATTTTACAAAAAATATATTTATGACACACTGTCTCTTTTATAGCCTTAAACCCAATTATATTTTTTTACATTTAATGACAATATACGAGTAATAATGTACGAGTACATATTGATTAATTTACGTTAAAATTAATGACGAAAGCCGTCAGCAGCTACATTATTCTTGACATATCAAAAATTCGTAATATTAGAAAAAACGAGGCACAACGATACAACCTCACACAAGTGTATTCATCAATCAATTTCAATAGAAGCTTACAAATAAAAATAATAGTGTTTCGTTACTCTTCCATTCATTATTTAAGTGATTTTCTCAAAACAAAATATTATATTAAGCAAGCGAGTTGAATGTCATAATTTTAAGTGAAATACAGTATCTACAATGTTTTTAAGAAGAAAACTATAATGTGTGTAAAATGTGTAGAACTTTAAACACAATATTGAGACACTAAGACACAATAAGATACACAATTCAAACAATAATAATAACACAATCCCAACTCCTGTTGGTGTTTATTTTTAATATATATCAAAGTAAATAGTGATTTATTTTCACAATGTGTAAGACTTAGAAGAAGGAGGAATAAACAAAACAACTAGACAAATAGGGCGGCCAAGGAGGGAACATGATGATGATGACAACAATAAATACAATTTATTTAAGTAATATAATAATTTCGGTGACGGATTAAGAATACGCAATGTCACCACCTCTATTCATCCCGTGGGTGTCGTAAAAGTCGACTAAGGGAGAAAACCACGCAAGACAACAGCACTGCAAAGAGAAGGAAAACTTGAAACAAACCCTTTTTTTTTTTTTTTTTTACGTGTGGAAATCCCCTCGGACCGTCACCCCACCGGGGTTTGCGGCGGGGTGGTGTGTCGGACTCGGACCGACTAAAACCACACGGTGTGCCACTCTGCGCTTGTAATAGGAGGGATCCGGGAACATCTGTTATTAAGACATCCGGACCCCTCCTAGCGCTTCCCGCTCCTGTTGCGGGCTCCATCTCAAAATTTTTTTTCCTCTCTTTAGGCGACGTCCGGCACACGCGGACGCCACCCCCTCGCGGCTGGCCAAACTAATGCGGGTGGAGGGGAAACCCACCCCGTCCACCCGCGGCCACACTCAGGGCGGCATGAGGTGCAGGTGAGCGCGCCTCCGCCGCCCGGTTCGCCGGCGGCAGATCGGGTCAGAGTGGAGGTCGTCCTCCCGGGTCTTCTCCGCCGCCTCCTTCTGCGAGAGTACTTCCTCGCAGAAGGTTGCGACCGCGGTAAAACAACTGTCGCTACCGGCCATGGAGCGTACTACGGCCGGTAGCGAGAGATCCACTCCGATGACTGCAGTGAGGGCCCGGCGCTGCGTCGCCCATGCGGGGCAGACCGCCAGCATGTGCTGGGCCGAGTCCTCACTGCAGTCGCAGTGGTGGTAGGCGGGACTCAGTTTCCTCCTAGCGACCGAGTGCAGGTACTTTCCGAAGCAACCGTGCCCGAAAAGCACCTGCGTCAGCCGGAAGGTAAAGGTCCTGTGCTGCCGCCCTGCCCACTTGGCGATGACCGGCTGGAGAGCCTCCATGGCGGCGAAGCCAGCGCGTGGAGTCTCCAGCCGGAACGACCAACGAGCCATCGTGGCTCGGCGAGCGGCTTCGCGCCACTCGCGCACGTCTTCGGGCTGAGGGCGAAATCCGCTCTCCGCCCGGGAGTCAAAGAGATAAACTTCGGCGAGCACTTCCGCCTCCAAATCCCACGGGGGAGTTCCGGTCAACGCGCAAGCCACCTCCGTCGAAACGGTGCGGTAACCGCGCATGGCTCTGACCGCCAATACCCTCTGAGGGCGCCAGAGGCGTGCCCTATTCTGGGCGGTCAGAGCCGCCGCCCACACCGGTGCACCGTATAGTGCCATTGACCGGACAACCCCCGTGTACAGCCGTCTTGTCGCGACGCTGGGTCCACCCAAATTGGGCAAAAGTCGCCCTAGGGCAGACGCAGCGCCGACCAGCTTTGGAGCAAGCTGTCGGAAGTGCTCGTCGAAGAGCCACCTCCCGTCGAGGATCAGGTCCAGATATTTCATCTGGGCCCGAACCGGTACGAGGACCGAGTTGACCACGATTGAGGCGCCAGGGGGTAGACCACGACGGGGCCCATGAAATAAGAGAGCCTCCGTCTTATCTAGGGCCACCCGTAAGCCCAGCGCCTCAATGCGCCCGACCACCAGGGACACTCCCCTTGTGGCCAGGCGCGCCGCCTCTTGGAAGATCGCCCCCCGGGCTGTCACCAGAGTATCATCTGCGTAACAAATTACACCCAGCCCGGGGGGGAAATCGGCTCGAAGGGCCCAGTCGTACCCTATGTTCCACAAGAGGGGTCCAAGAACAGAACCCTGTGGAACACCGCACGACATGGGCCGACACCTCGAATTACCTTCTCGGTCCTCGTACACGACGGTACGCTCCTCTAAATAGTCTGCCACTAGCCGCCTCAGGTACTTTGGCACCCCATGATAGTGGAGTGCTTCGTTGATGCAGCTGAATGGCAGACTATTGAATGCGTTGGCGATGTCCAATGACACCGCCAACAGCACGCCGCCACAGCTCAGGGCCTCTTCGGTCACGGCCCTCAGGCGCAAAACAGCGTCCACTGTCGAACGCCCCGCCCGAAAACCAAATTGGGCGTCCAACAGATCGCGGCCCACCTCGTAGAGGTGCCGGACGATGCGGGCAGAGAGAACCCTCTCAAACAATTTACCCGCCTCGTCCAGCAGCACGATGGGCCTGTAGGCCGCGACCGAATCGGCAGGCCGTCCCGGCTTCCTTAATAGGACCAGCTTCCCGAAACCCTATACCAACCCATCTGAGGATAAGCCTATGTCCAGCAGTGGACTATCATAGGTTGATGATGTGATGTTGATGTGATGAATATAATAAAATCATAAAAAAATATTCAAAATCATTCTTTTTTTCATTTTATTTATACTTTAGGAATTGTAAAAAAAATATGTACTGGAATAGGTTTTTGTTGATTGTTAATAATATTGAAGAAAGTTGTAAGTGCCACACCGAAGCGTGGCGGGGTACAGTTAGTGTCCTATAATAATGATTACTTTTCTTTTTTAATTTATATGACACACATACAATTATAATTATCAATAAATTATGTGCAACAATAGAAATACCAATTTGAAGAATACTCATAGATAAATTGATAAAGTAAAGAAAACATTTTGCAGCTATGTTATAAAAGTCACGTCGTAACCTAAACGTCAACCAAACCTTATAATGAACGTAATGTTATTTAATAATATTATCTAAAAAAAAAATTTCAGAGCTAACAGTCAATAATGAGCGTTATCTTATGGGCATCATCCCAGGGTCGCTTGGCGGTTCATCACAGAGGGCACAGAGAGCAAAAGAAATTGAAACACTTATACAGGTAAAAGAAAGAACAATATTGTTGGTTTAATACAATCTCTTCTTGTGTACTTATAGTTTGTGCGTTGCACTTTGTGCAGCGCACAAACTATAGGTACTATTTTATAGATTGTAATTTTTAGAAATAATTAGAATTTGAGGAATAGATATAGGACATATCAAATGAATCGGTTGTAGCCAAGTTACAGAAAGCACCAGTTGTTGATAAAAAAAGATTGTTAAAATATAAAAGTAATATTTTAATTTATACTAATCTATTGAAGTGTGTGTTTAACTTTACCTCTTACATTTTAAAGAAGGCCTTTAGCCTCTTACTGACAAAATATCTTAATCACATATTATAAACGAATAGTTCACTCGTCTCCGTCAGGAATACATTATACTAAACCTTTATTTTAATTTTGCTCACTTATACACAACTTACTTTTAATATTTTAAAACCAACATACGCATCTCAATCCTTTAAGTATGAATTGTGGACATTTACATCAGAAAAATCACAATACCAATTAGTAAACTAATACATTGTTATCCTTACAAATGTTTTACATGTAAAGTAGAATTAAAAGGTTTACTTTCCATTTATAATAATAGGGGTTAACTATAAAATTGCCGGTATATAGCAATAGATATACTACTTTGAATTGACTAAAACCTTCGTGATGTGAGATTTTCGTGTAAAACTTTTTTCATATGATACCTATGAGGTTCTTCCTTTAATTCATCTTAGACGTGAAAGATGGATACTTCGACAATCTGAGTCATTTTTTAATATGAATTCCGACGCGGAACTAACGCGGCAGAAACGGCTCGCAATATCAACACTGCTCTCATGCTTTGACTGATTTGCAGAAAGAAATCCATTTCTTTCTGTTGTGTTGTCTTGTTGAATCGGTACAGAAATGAAGAAATATTGGTTTGAATTGTGACATGAGACGAAAAGTAGATTGTTTACGATAACGGTAAGCGAAAAATGCAATGGCTGACAACAGGTCAAACGCCGCAACAGTGCCCTAAAGCAAAGCAAAGCTTACCAATAAATAGGTAATGGTAACTGTTTGGGGGTCTCTTCATGGTGTTATTCACTATAGCTCTCTCCGGTATGGTCAGACAATAACAGCAGATGTTTACTGTGCCGAACTTCGAATAATAATGACGAAACTGGCAGTGAAACAGTCCCGACTCGTGAATCGATCTTCATCATTATTGCTCCATGATCACGAAAGACCTCACAATGCACGCGAAGCCGTTGTTACTCTACAGGAGCTGCAGTTAGGAAACCATACGTCATCCTTTTTTTTCGTCTACCTTTTTTTTCGTGATTTGTATGCGTGAATATTCTCTTCCTAGGCAGTACAAAATGCTTTCACACAGTTTGTCGAATCTAGATCCCAGAGTCCTATTGTAAAGGTATAAACGAACTTCCGTTTAGATAGCTAATAGGGGTAAATATTTTCTTTAAATAAATATGTTACATCTTAGAAAAACACGAGTTTTTAATTTTTCAGTACAAATCGGCAATTTTATACTTTAACCCTTAATTAATTAGGATAATTATGTTCTCACTTCTCAATCTAAAAATGTTTGTTTGTGTATCTAATTAATGTTTATTTCTTACTGGTTTCAGATGAATGATAACTATAAAATCTTTATTGAATACCTCAAAAAAGGCGTCACTTTACCTGGCCGGACCTTTAACATATATGACGATGATATGAGAGAGGCAGCCATTAATTTATTTCAATTAATAAGAACCATAAATAACGCGGGGTTTGATACTAGAGAATTATTTGATTTTGAAAATATAAATTCAGAATTGGTTAGGTATGCATTTGACCTTAATATGTTGTATGGTGAAAAGCATCCTGGAAAATATGTGTTTGTGCCACCTTTTATTACCAGACCAAATTATTTTGTGAATGGAGAAACTATTTTTAAGGCAGTTAAAATTAGTAATCTTTTGAATTATAACATAAACAATACACAAGAATCACGAGTTAACCAATTTTACAAAATAGATAACACTGTTATAATTAACACCAATTATTCCTCTTGGAACCTACTTAGCCATGGAGGAGAAGAGGTATTAAATTATTTTAGAGAGGACATATCTTTAAATAGCTACTATTATGGTGTACATTTGATGCATCCGTATTGGCTTCCAAACCAAGATTTAGATGAAATTCATCCACGACACAATGAGCATTATTATTATACTCATCAACAGCTATTAGCGCGATTATTCCTTGAGAAGGAACACATTAAACAAGGGAATTCATCCTTTAATAAAACAGATTACAGAGATTTTAATCCATACTTAATTCACGCTAACGGATTGCCATTTCCACTGAGATCAAACCTCGCAGGAGACTGGAATGAGGATAAAGCCAAAATTAAATCAATAGACATCGCCATCAGAGAATGTATGGCAAGAGGACTGATAATTATGGTAAAGACTTTTAAAGTACTGAAATAAAGTCCGCTTTATATCTCGTGAATGAAATTACAATACTTGCCTACTTAATTCATCAACAGCCTTTACTAGTCCACTGCTTGACATAGGTCTCTCCTTAGAAAGGAGGTTTTGGTTAGTATAAGGTATGTTTTAAGTTTTCCTTCTCTTTGCAGTGCTGTTTTCCTGCGTAGTTTACTCCCTTAGTCGGCTCTAATGACACCCACGGGATGAGTGGGGGTGGTGACACTCTGTATTCTTAATCCGTCACCACACGGAACCCTACTTAATTACTTGACTTTATTGCAATGACAGTTCACATCAACCAAATCCTCTACGCTATCAATCTATGAGCTCTCTCTTCATTCTCTATCTCCCTTATATTGTAATAGTATTATATCAAATTCTGTATTTTACAGGAAAATGCAACTACTATAAACATGACGGAAGATAATTATGTGGACTTATTAGTGAAATTGATACGTGCAAATTATGATTCAACGAGAACATCTAAAATTGTAAGATCTGTTTTTGGATATGGAGGTAATGGAAACCCGTATGATGAGTAAGTATTTCCTTTAAATACCGTTATATGTGTGATCGCATGGTGTTATGCATAAATATGCAATCCTTAATTCAAAAAAAAAAATTTTTGTCAGAAGTCGACGTCTTACTCGTGTAGGCCAATGAGCTTATTTTAATTTTTTCAATTCAATTTCAACCTATAATACCTTTATACGGTGATATAAAATTCTAACAAAAAATCGACACTTCAAGTAAAATAGCTTATAAGTTATCGTTTGCTATAAATTTTCTGTTTTCTTTTTCCGCAGATATAATCCAGCTCCAACGCTGCTACATTATCCCGAGACATCGTTAAGAGATCCAATCTATTGGCATCTGATGCAATACATCCTGAAATATTTCACTGAATACAAAGAGACTTTGAAACCGTATAATCTAGCGGACTTCGAAACTGATGACTTCATTATTGTTGACGCTAATATTCCAAAAATAACTACTTATTTCGATTACTACCAATTGAACATAAATAGAGCTATAACTGAACATATGAAGCTACCTTTAACTATTACTGCCCGACAAAAGAGACTTAAACATTCACAATTTGCTTTAACCTTTACAGTTGAATCAAAAGTTAGAGAAAATGTAATAGTAAGATTATTTTTGGGGCCTCCGTGTAAAGACTGTTGGGAAGAATATTCAAAGTTTTATGAATTAGACACGTTCGAATTCTATGTACAAAAAGGAGTAAATTTTATCAATTGGTCAGCTGATACCTCTACTAGACTTTCAAATGATGAGTATTTCAATTTAGAGGGTTCTTCGTCACAGGAAAATAGAACAAATAAGTACAATTTGTTTAAATTCCCTGAAAACTTATTGATACCCAGAGGTTTGGTAAACGGATTAAACCTTACATTATTTATAATGATAACTCCATCTGGTGATGCTTTTGATAGCGATTTCACTCCCCCAACCAATTTTTATGGCGAACTTTACAATGAACTAGACATAAAACCTTTGGGTTTTCCTTTTCACAGGCCATCTGAAAATCATAAAGTTACAGCTAACAATTATAAGTTTTATAAAATTGTCATTCACCATAAACAAAATAATGTCGCAAGTAATGGATACTTTTCATCTCATTTGTATTAATTAAAATTAATTATTTTTTAGCGAGGATAAACAATTTTTATTCCCCTTAAATTATATTATTTTAAAACTGCAATAATTTGAGATTGTGCACCTTTTTTTACTACCCTGCCAGATTTGATGTAGTATTTATTTCAGAGTTAAACTATATCGTGTCACGCTGCAGTTTTGTAGAAATTTTCAAATATATTTAAGCTACTACACTAAGGACTAGCGTAGTAGCCAATATATTATAATTAGCTTCATCCTTCAAAAGCTCAAGTCGCTACTAATTCGCTCTCTCCAGTGTACTCGCATCCTCTTTTTTCGTAACAACATCTTACTAATCCTAAATCCCATTCTCATCTTACAGAACAATCCAAGTTCACACACACACAGTAATAATACATATGAAAAATGTCTAAGGTTATCCGAAGATTTGAGAGTGGAGATCTTATTGCACTGCTTAAGCTGTACACGTGTGGAATGTAAATCCACACTTGTAAAGCTTCGACATTCATTAACTTCAGGCGTCAGGCATTCATCTAAGGCTAGGACCCACGCTCGGGCTGGAATGCCATCGGGTCCTGGGGCGGTGTTTTTGGCTTTAAACCGTAGCACCGCCACCCTTAGTTTTGTTCAAGTGACCTCAGGCACTTCGTCGTCATCCACGTTAGGCGCCTCGAGCGCTTGGGTGAGGCCATCTGTCACCCTAGCAGAAGCAGGCCGGAGTGCTTCCGTTAGCACAGAGGCCCGAGGTACGTCGGGGCACCAGGGATTTCTTTTCTAGCGTACACCTGGTTCCCCGACTACTGGTACCTAAGACGGCGTGCGGTTTTAGTCGGTTCGAGTCCGACATTGCCACCTGTAAGTGGTATCCTAGGGGATTGCCGCACAGAAAAAAAAGGGGGTCGACGTCACGGTGCCATCATTGTGATGACTGCGCTGACGATACGGCGCTTCACACGCTGCATAATGCCCAGCTTCTGATCTTATCACGGCAGTAAGTTCTGCGGGTAACGTCTCGCTTCCGACCTTCATAGGGATCGAGCCGGTGGCACATCTTTTGGCTGTCGACGATTCGAGTAACTCTTCTTTGGATTCGGTCCAGAGGGAGAAGCTGGTACTGTGGTGCCCCTGCATAGAGAAGAGAGCAGTATTCCATTTGCGGTCGTACTTGCGCCTTATAGAGTTGGAGGCGATGGGCTGGAGTGAAATACTGCCTCGATCTGTTCAGCACACCAAGCTTCTTCGAGGCCAATTTGACCTTACCCTCTAAATGACCGCGAAACTGGACTTCGCTCGATATCTCGATGCCTAGATTTGCAATACTGGCTGAGGCAGTTAGGGAGGTGCTCTCGAACCGAGAGTACGACAAACTCGTTTCTTTTTTAGGGTTCCGTACCTCTAAAGGTAAAAAAGGAACCCTTATAAGATCACTTTCTTGTCCGTCTGTCCGTGTGTCACCACCGATTTTCTCAGGAACGGGTAGACCTAGCAAGTTGAAATTTATACCAGATACTGAGGTCTATGGTCCCTATTAGGTGTATAAAAATCAAGGTCCTGAATCAACACAATAAAAAGATGGCAAATTTACCCAAATTGACAATTCTAGGTCAACCAGAAGTACCCCATAGGTTTTGGGTCGAAAACCTATATGGTAGTTCCCGTTGACCTAGAATCACTAAATTTGGCAAAAAGAAACGTCTTACAGCACAAATAAAGGAATAATTCCAAAAAATCAAAAAAGTTGAAAATTAAGATAAATTTTGCTACTTACAAGTTTTCGCAATCCTCGGCGCACGAGTTCGACTCGTAAATGCCCGGTTTTCTTTGTGGTGAACACCTATATCGTTTATGGGTTGAAATGGACAACATTCAGTCGACCCCAAGCTGAAACCTCCGCTAAGACTTGTGATAAAAAACATGTTTTTGTACGCTTACATTGCAAACGATGGCTAAACCTTACGAGATAGACCAAAATAAAATACAATAGAATTGTATATAATCTATTTTTATTTACGAAGCTATTTTAAAGAATATATTATATTTCCTTATCCAATAAAATACGTTAAATACGTGGTGCATTTAATGTAGATTAAAATGCCTCTTAACATTATATCAAAAAGAAGAAGGCTCTTTGTTCCACTGTATTTATTTTTTTAATGTACGTTCACCGATTACTCCGTCAATTGTGGGCCCATTTCAAATATTCTTTTTTTATTAGAAAGAGCATAGTCCTGAGGTAGTCTCATCGTCACGAAGTCAGGATCTGATGAGGGGATCCCAGGGAAATTGAGGGAAACCCTCAAATTTTATTGGGACGCATTAGGTGTTTCATATATTTTCTAAAGCTAATCTGCTATTTCCGTCTGGTAGTCATTATCTCGTGTTGATAAGCTGGTAAACGGTTAAGAGTTGGGGGATAGTTCTTTAAATACCATATGTATGATTAGACTCTTAGTTATATTCTTTTAAGTTATTCAGGTGAGCTGATGATGGAAGGTAAAACTCCTTAAGAGTTAGGAGTTAGATGATACTTTTGAGATGCCGACATAGTACTCGTAACCTGTAATATACATGCAATATACATGCAAAGCTAAGGGTTAGATTAGCAACCTGCACTACATACCTAGCTTGTCTTAGTGTTCTAATTTAAATATTTACAATTAGTCTTAATCGCTGTTTTTTTTTGGCTTTGTGTGGCTCTAAGTCTCAAAGAGCAACACCATCATTAAACCATCTTTAGGCAACTAAGCGCAACATAAACATTGCCTTTGAGAATTTTAGGGTAGTGTGCTGGAGTTTATGCACCGTAACCACCCAACTGAAGATTAGCAGTAGCATTCTCCGTTTAACATCCCCGTAGCTTTTAGTTGCCTGATAGGTTTATCAGCACCTAAAAGCTACGGGTATGTTAAACGGGGTTAGTTGCCATAGTTGCTTTTGATTTTGTGGCAATAAAGTCGTCATGTTCTATACATATATAATTTATATAAGTATATAAAAAAGTAAAGTTGTTTTGTGTACGCTTCAAAAACTCAAAAATTTCTGCACCGACTGAATTCAAACTTCGACACGATACAACAAGCTTCAAAAATGTTTATCTATTTTTTGGTACCACAATATGCCACAGCGAAGCGTTGCAGGGTATAGTAAGTATTTTATAAAAAGAGAATCCGGTAACTCGCCTGATTCTATTTGATCACGGCGAAGGGCAAGCTATTTTAATTTGGATAAGATACTTGGACCAGGCCTTTGGTAACAGAAATGTTGCGTCTCAACATAACTCTGGAGCCTATACCCAGTTTCAATACGTGCATCAAACAACCACCGTTATTTGCAACAGCAAGAATAACATTTGACGGTAGTCGTCTTCCGTAGGTTACTACATCACGCGACTTATATGAAGTAGTTTCACCTACAACGTACCTATGGCTATTAACACTAAAAATGGAAAGGATCTGGTGATGGTATCCAAGAGAAATCGAGGGAAATCCTCAAATTTTACAGGCCCGACAACGTGTTTTAGCTTATTTCTCTAGTTTTATAGGTATATGCGTTTAGTAGTCATTATGTCATGTTGCCGAGCTGATGATGGAAGGATCCTTGATCTTTAGGAGGTAGATAATAACTTTTTCAAAAATCTAATCATGTATTGACCTAGTTTTTTTCTTTTAAGATATTTGACCTACCTACAGAGATATGTGCAAAAGAGAGTAATAAATGAAATTACAAAACATTGTTGAACAACAAAACCAAACGCAGTCCATGTGGTGACGCATTAAGAATACAGAGTGTCACCACCCCTATTCATCCCGTGGGTGTCGTAAGAGCCGACTAAGGGCGAAAGAACGCAGAACAACAGCACTGCAGAGAGAAGGAAAACTTGACACAAACCCTATACCAACCCGTCTGGCCAGCGTGGTATAGTAGGCCAAAACCTCCTTTCTAAGGAGAGGCTTATGTCCAGCAGTGGACTATTAAAGGCTGTTGATGACTTAGATTTCTAATATTTTTTTAATTTTTAGTGCTCTTTGTCAGTATTGTTTGAAGTCGGTTCAACTTTTTCTTTTTTAATTATTCTAACTAATTCAGTTCAGTAACATGAGATAATGACCACCAAACGCAAATACCTGTATACATAACTAGAGAAACGAGCGAAACCACGTTGTTAGGGCAGTAAATTTTGAGGGTTACGCTTCATTTCTCTGGGATCCCATCATCAGATCCTGCCTTGACGGTAATATGACTATCTCGGGAATAGACCCTTTCGATTGCAAAAAGAATTTTGGAAATGGACAATTAAAAAGTAATTACATTATTTTTTACATACTCTTACTGACTGACTGAGTGTGAACAATTTTAAGTTACTAGATTACTTAATTTTTTACATTACGTTGAAATTTATTCATTCATCTTTAATTTTATACCATATATAAAAAAACAAATTGATAACGCGTAAAAACTACGATAAGCTCCAGTTAGTATAAAATAGCTAGTTCGGTTCGATAACGCATAGTTGTTATGGGCTATGGAACTATGAAGACTGTCTTGATCCTCACGGGGCTTATAGCCCTTGCCTTAAGCGTGGCTGTCCCACAACATAATTATGAATTTAAGACAGGTGAGAAACAGCTTCTGATTTATTTTATATTATAATTATTATTTCCACGCTTATAACATGTTTAATCTATATAGCTTCTAACATGTTTTTAGCGTGGAAATCAAACAGAATATAGTTTAGTTTATTTTTGTGTAAGTATTGTATTTCATATAGTGAAATTCTAAACTATGAATAGATAGTGAATTCTTCTGAAGAATTTCGGATACCTATATAATATTGTATATATAAAAAATGCAAATGCAGCACCTAAACATATTGTACTTTCATATTGTACTTTATATTGGTTTTCTTACTTTATATTTTAACAGTTGATGCGGACTTTGTTTACAAACAAAAGAAAGTGCTCTCTTTGTTCAAGAGCGTAGAGGAAAACGACAACTCGGCAGACTGTCACAAAGCTGGTTTGAACTATGATATTGAAGCGAGCATCAACAAGTATACTGTGAGTACTTACCATTTATATTTCTTTATGGAGCTATATGGAGGATTTGTAGATAAAAGTACGTCCTATTTTGTTGCAGAACAAGAAAGCAGTTGAGGATTTCTTGGTGTTGTACAGAACCGGTTTCATGCCCAAATATCATGTGTTTTCAATATTTTATGAAAGGATGAGGGATGAAGCTATCGCTCTTTTCCACGTAATGTACTACGCTAAGGACTTCGAAACCTTCTACAAAACTGCAGCTTGGGCTAAAGTGTACCTCAACGAAGGACAGTTTCTATACTCATATTACATTGCTGTACTTCAAAGAGATGATACCCAAGGAATTGTTTTACCTGCACCTTATGAACTCTATCCTCAGTATTTCTTTAACATGGACGTTTTCTACAAAATGTACGCGAAACAATTAAACAACATTGAAAAGTTTGATACCGATTACGGCATAGTAAAGGAACAGAATAACTATGTTTTCTACGCAAATTATTCGAGCTCACTAACGTATCCCAACATAGAACAAAAGTTAGCGTACTTCACTGAGGACATTGGTTTGAACGCTTACTATTACTATTTCCACACTCACCTACCTTTCTGGTGGAACTCTAAAAAATTCGGAGAATTCAAAGAACGTCGTGGCGAGATCTACTTCCACTTCTATGTGCAACTGTTGGCACGTTACGACATGGAGCGTGTCACTAATGGTCTGTGTGATACTTTTGAGTTCTCTTGGTATTTGCCGTTAAAGTCTGGTTATTACCCACAATTGAGTACTGGTTTCCATCCATTCGCTCAAAGAAGCAACTATTATGACATTCATACTGAGAAGAACTATGGAGCCATCCACTTACTGGATGCTTATGAGAAGAATTTCTTCCAGTATCTGCAACAGGGCCACTTTAAGGCTGTACGTATTCTGAATGTGATAATATATTTATTTAAAATTTTAAGAAAAAATAGTAATATTTATTTTTCATTTTCAGTTTAATAGAGTAGTAGACTTCACCAGCCCGAAAGCAATAAATTTTGTCGGTAACTACTGGCAGACCAACGCTGACCTGTACTCTGAGGAGCACATAAAAAATTACCAGCACTCTTACGAAATTACTGCCCGTCACGTACTTAGCGGAAGTCCCAAACCTTTGGACAAGTAAGTACATGTACTCAACAATAATTTACTAATCTTATTAAAATGTATACTAGTGTAAACATTTATTAAATTTCAATGGTAGATAGGTGGTAAAGCAATCAAATTAAAGAGACTTGCTTAAGTGGATTTAATAATAATAAAAGTTAATATTAGACTTATGGTCCATATTTATGTTAGTATTTTAGTGTTAGTAACAATAGTGCTTAAGTTGATAGGTTAGTATTATTAGTAATTACATTTTACTTAAATTTACTATTTGTATAGACCTATGACTGTCCCCACCCATTGTTTCTGGAATGGGCAGTCCGGTCTGGCAGCGATCATTTTCAGAATGCTGTTGTCACTGTCTTGTAGGCGCTGGAGTAAGGAAGCCGCTTTCTTTCGCATAATTGCGTAGAAATCATCTATGCGAGCCTCCGCGAACATACCCGATGCGCTACAGCGCTGCGGCAGCCCCAACAGCATCCTGAACGCATTATTATATTAAACACGCAGGACATTGTATCCCCGTTGCGTGTAAGACACCCACAGGCCGCTCGCGTAGATAGACTGACAAAATGCCCTATAAAGGGTTACCTTGACACCCTCGCCACAACGAGGGAAGCTGCGGACAAGCATATTGCTCCTCACAGACAACGCCCTGCGCTCCCTCTCTATGTCTCCATCGTCCCTTAGGTCGCTCGTGACAATGTGGCCCAGGTACCTAAAACTATTTACAGTGTTTAGTGCTACGGCGTTGAGACTTATGGGCGGAACAATGCATGATTGCTGATTAGGCGCTTTAAATATGAGTAAAACACTCTTTTTCGAAGTGTATATAAAGCCATGCTCCGCCGCATAGGCCTCACAGATCAATATCAACCTCTTCAACCCACTTATCGATGGACTGAGCAGCACCATATCATCTGCATAGCTTATATTATTAACACAGGTTCCGTCAATATGGCAGCCGACATGTGTGCCGCTCAGTCGCTCGATAAGCCGGTTCATATAAATATTAAATAGCAGAGGCGAGCTTAATCCTCCCTGTCTAACTCCGCATTTCAGCCTGTACTCGCCCGACAGAGTACCCACCCATCTCACTCGGTTCTTTTGGTTAGAGTACCAATATCTGAGGAGGGAGGTGTACTTCGCCGACACACGCGCATCCCTCAACTTGTCCCACAGTATATTATGGGCAACCAAATCAAAAGCTTTTGACTAATCGAGGAAACACGCATATACCGGCGTCCTCCTCGCTTTGTAGTACCCGACAGTTCGCTTCATACTCAGAATAGCGCTCTCTGTTGAGACCCCTGCTCTGAAACCGAACTGTGCATCGTGCAACTCAACCTGTTTATTGAGGCTACTATTCAGCAAACTGTCAAGCACCTTAAATGATTGTACCCTTGTTCATACCTAAGCGTATGTAATTTCAAGGTACTGATAGTTATAAAATTTAATTTAAAAAAGTTATTGGTATATTATTGTGTTAAATAAGAATAACAAATTAAATTTATCTACGTTAAAGTAAGAATAATATGTAGGTACTTATATATTTATATGAAATCTCTTGTTTGGGGATTTTTTTACCCCTGCCGAAAAGACGATAGTAAATAAATAAAAAAAAAACAATTTGAAAAAATGCGTTTTAGACGATCTATTTATTAATAATAATAAGGCTCCTAGACAACTAAGTAAAAATATCTAAGCGTATGAAATTTTATGGTACTGATAGCTATACAATAAATTTAAAAAAAGTTATTGGGATGAATTTTGTTATTGCGGTTAATAGGAAAACTAAATATTAATACAAATGGTGTTATATTTTACAGGTACACCTTCATGCCAAGTGCTTTAGATTTCTACCAAACTTCTCTTCGCGACCCAGCATTCTACCAACTATATCAGAGAATTATCGATTACTTCATTCATTACAAGCAGTATCTACAGCCTTACGATCATAACGATCTTTATTTTACTGGTGTCCAGATCAATAACGTCAAAGTTGACAAACTAGTCACCTATTTCGATTACTTTGACTTCAATGTTACGAACAGTATGATATACACTGCCAAGCAACTGGAACAATACAAATACAGCTACTTGATCCGTCAGCCTCGTCTTAACCACGAGCCTTTCTCCGTTAACATCGAACTCAAGTCTGATGTAGCTTGTGACGCCGTCTTTAAGATTTTCATTGGACCAAAGTACAATAGAAAAGGTCACCCAGTAAACATCGAGGAAGATTGGATGAAGTTCTATGAATTGGACTGGTTCGTACACAAACTTATTCCCGGAGAAAATAAAGTGGAACGCAAATCTAGCCAGTTTATTTTCTTTAAGGATGATAGCCTTCCTGCATCTGAGATCTATAAACACCTAGAAGAAGCAAAGGTTCCATATGATATGTCTGTCGTTCCCGACAACATGCCTAGGAGGCTGATGTTACCTAGGGGGGCTCCTGGTGGACATCCATTCCAGTTATTTGTGTTCGTGTATCCATTCAACGGAATCATAAAAGACAAAGAAATGTTTAAGAACTACGTCATGGATGGCAAACCATCCGGCTATCCCTTCGACCGTCCGGCCAACACTGCTTACTTTAAACAACCTAACATGTTCTTCGAGGATGTAGAAATCTACCACAAGGGTGAAATATTCCCATACCAGCTAAACAGCCCAGCTTATTTTACCCACAAGAAGTTGTGATGTTACAGTTGTTACAGCTAGTTTTGCTGTAATATTCTAATAATATTAACAGTGAGAGAAGAAAGTATGTAATAAAATATTTTATTGCTAACATATGTTTTATTTTTATTTTACATGTCTAGCTTTTGCTACAGTTGCACCCTTTGATAAGGATTTTTTTCTGTCACGATTCAATTAACACTAGATACATGGTATTCTAAAATTGTAAGTATAATTGAATAATCAAATTTTTGAAGATGAGGCGATCACTTCAAAATAAGTAATCTCTTTTCATCCTTCTTTAAAACCATGTATGAACCATCCTCACTGTGATCTACCTGGAGTCCACACCATGACCAATGTAATGTAAACGATGCATCTCTTAATACGTTAAAATTTAGTCTCTCAGGCAAACATAAAAAATAAATTAGATATAATGAAAGGGGCCGGATAGCGTGCCTACTAATCTTTTTAAATACATAGCTGGACCAATAAGTACGGTTGTACTAATATTATACAATAATATATTTATTGTAGATTGAGAAGAAGGCAGTTTGCCAGAAATCTGGCAAAGTTTACAGGATCGAAACAAAATATTGAAAATAACCGACCTGTTTCGTTACTTTGCATCCTAGCTACAGTGTTTGAGCGGCTCGTGCATTATAGATATTTGTGCTATAGCCTGATGGCACGATAGTGGTACCGCCAAGCGAGCCAAGCAAAGCGCAAGGGCACTACCTACTTTTCTCGAAGCGTTTTGTCGTTTTTTTAACCCTGCGATAGGATGATAAACGACCTGACCCGACCGCTTAATAACAGCAGTTCCCGGATCCCTCCTATTACAGGCGCAGAGTGGCACACCGTGTGGTTTTAGTCGGTCCGATTCGAAAAAAAAAAGGATAATAAACGAAATCGAACGAAATCTCGAGATATATGTTATCGATAGTGCACTTATTAAATATATGAAGTTCCATTTGCTATTACAGTTTAGATTTAGTTGATGAAAACCACGATTTCGATCATAAAAATTGTTAGGGTACTTCCTGAGCGCTCCACACGCTGGCAGAATGCCCGGCGTGGGTGGAGGCGAGACCTCGTGGCGGCCGTTGGAGTGGGAGCTCTCTAGCTCGATAACCTGATTGCGGCTATCGTGCGTAGCGAGAGTGCGTGGAACTCTGCCGTCTCCTTCTGCGAGCAACTTATACTTGCGAATTGGAGCGGGACCGGGAGAGGTTTAGAGGTTTAGACCTGGGGGTGACAGGTGGGCGCGTTGCGAAGCGCGCGCACCCTTCCGGGAGCACAGAGGGAATATGGGGGTTCCCACACAGGGGGGTTCGTCTACCCGCCGTAGATGACCCGAGGTACGTCGGGGCACCAGGGATTTTCTTTCTAGGGTACACCTGGTTCCCCGATTTCATGTTTACAGTTTATAAATACAAATCACAGGAAAATTTTCCATTACTTGCGATATTTTTTTATGTTAAACCATAATTTTATAAATCTTTCAATTACGAGTATTAGTTGTATTTTATTATTTTAGATGGCCTCGGAAACGGAAACCTAAAGGTTTTGTGTCTAATGCATTGTAAAGTTTTTCACCTCAGCTTTTTGCGGTGGTGGGAAACATGATCATATTTGCGAAGTACAAATATGAATCGTATGCAAAAGTTTTGGAGACGCTCAAGTTTATCAAGATGTGCTTCGGTGAGATCAAGATAATTAACGTCGGCAAATTCAAGAATCAGAAGAAGGAGCGTTTGTGCACGTTTTAGTAGCAGTTAGAAGAAAGTTTCGTAACCTTTTCAAAGATCCCTCTGCAGGGAACACTTTGCGGCTCACCTCCTGAATCTGAGGTCTCCATGATAAGGTGCTATCGATTATCACGCCCAAGTTTTTGACTTTGCTGCTAATCGGTATGATGGTAATGTGAAATTGAACCAGTGGCAAATGTGACCAATTAATTTTAGAAGACATTATGGGACCAATGATGCATACCTGTGATTTTGTAGGATTAATTTTGAGTTCATAGTCGTTAATCTAAGCACCTTTGTGCTCTAGATCTGAATTAATAATATTAAGTGCAGTCGATAACATAATGACATGTGCATGGGTGTATATCTGCAAATCATCAGCATACAGGTGATAGGATGAAAGTAAATGATTGGAAATATAATTTATAAAAATTGCTAAGATTAATGGAGATAGAACGCCACCCTGTGGGACACCGACAGTTACATTACACCATGAAGAGAGGGAGTCTTCAAGTCCAATGCGATGGTGACGCCCAAACAGGTAATTGTGAAACCAATTAATTGCCTCTGGAGATACGTTAAGAGAGCGAAGAATACCAAGGAGAATATGGAAATCAACAGTATTAAATGCGTTACCGAAGTCGAGTAAGGATAATACCGTTACGTTTCCACTATCATTATTTTCTCTAATATCATCTGTGATGTTGACTAATGCTGACACTATACTGTGTCCTGCATGGAAGACAGTGATTTAGGAGATTATTATTTAACAAAAACTTGTTGAGTTGATTATAAACAAGACGTTCAAGAACTTTAGAAATTAATGGTAAGATAGATATAGGGCGATAGTCTGAGAAGGACGAAGGTTTCGATTTTTATGGCAAAGGAATAATTACAGCTACTTTCCATGCAGATGAAAAGACGCCGTAGGATAAGGAATGGTTGAAAATGTTACATAGGAAAGGGAGAATATCATCAAGGATGGGGACAATCATTTTTTTACTAAGGCAGTCGTTTCCCACCGCATTAGATCACATGAAATTATGCTCTACCTAACATCACAATGGTTAGTAGTTTGAATAGATGAAAGATATTTTAAAGTTTTAGATTTTGTTGTCTCATCAAAATCAGACGAGGAGGAAAATACTTGATAAGTGAATCAAGATTTAAGTCTTTAGAAGTAGAGTTTTGGTTCGATTTTTCAATTCCTAATATTTTCAGAAATTTCCAGATCTTCATTGGATCGTTGTTTAGAACAGATTTTTGACTGCACGGATGGCGTAGTGGTTTAAGCGGTCGCCACGCCGCTTCCTACTACGCCGAGTGTTGTGGGTTCAAACCCCACATTGTGTGATCCAAAAATTGATGTTCCAAGTCTGGGTGTTATTTGTGTCCGTTTCATGTATGTATGTAAAGTCCCCCGCGACACAGGATATTTTCCTAATGCGGGAGTTGTTTTATAAAACTAAAAAAAAAAAAAAAAAAAAAAGAAAAGATTTATGGATGTGTTGGCGTTGCGCTTCTCTACACACCTTATTGCAGTGATTTCTTATAGTCACATTTTTGTCGAAGTTAGTTTGAATAGGTCGACGCTTGTATCTTGTCTTTGCCGCTATTTTTTTTGACATGATGGCTCGTATTTCATCGGTGAGCCATGGAGCAGGCAAATGCTTTAGTTTAACACCAGAGGTGCATGTGCTTTATCAAATATATTGATAAAGTATTCATTTAAAATTTTTACTTTTATGTCAATTCATCCGCGGAGCACTGGCCATGATTGGTCACATGCTCATTGTTGGATACAATGCTGACATCTAAGAGAGAAGGAACACAGTTTGGTGCGTTGCGAGTCGCGCCTGAAGGTAGTATTGACAGATTGTTAGACTCTACCACGCGCCTTAAGTAAACAGAGCGAGCATCTCCTTTTAAGAGACACGTACTGAAATCTCCCATAATGATCGTAAGTAAGGTGTAGTAAGATTTTAAAAAATCTGCTCGAAGGAAGAAAAATAGTTGACGTGTAAAGAAGGAGAATAGTGCACACCGAGCAGAAGTTTATGGTGATGAAGTTAGACCTCTAGGAAGAGATGCTCGCCTGCATACGATAGTATTTCTGCTCATTTGGATACCGAAGGATTTCAATGTAGTCCATATTAATATATGGACTTCATTGAAATCCACGGTTCGGTACCTCTAAAAACCGAGACGGAAATGTTTCTTCAAGCGAAGGAACACTAACAAAACTATCCTCTGAACCATTCGCAGAAAAGAAGCTTTCATTGTCATTATCGGCCACACAGATTTGAGAATTATGAAACAAGATAATTTGTTGTGTTTAGATGTAATTCATGAATCGATCGAACATTTAATGGGCCGATGGTGTATTATAAGATGACGTAGGTGATCATCGGGAAAGGATGCTTCGGACATCACCATTGTCTGATCATCAAGGAGCAAAACCAGTTTTACGGCTAAAGCATAGACACCAACTTGAACAGATTAAACATTCCATCTAACGTCGTTTCTTCGATACTAACATTCAAACGCTTGGCGTTGGATATATTTTATGACGTTATCACTGTCGTCATGTAAAGGAACAAGTAGCAGCTCCTTTAGTCTTTCTCAGATCCGTGTTACAGCAGGGTTTTACCTTTTTGACAATGTGAGTATCGATTTAGCAGACCCTTTATCGGTTGTCAACAAAAAAAGGGGGTTCTCATATTCTTAAGATATACCTACATTTTTAATTGTTGTTTAACTACAATAGTGCAGATTTCTCATGACTTGCAAGTTAAATATGGATTTTTTGAACATTAAAGTACTACAAATGTGATTAATCTTATATATAAAGTTCTCGTGTCACAATGTTCGTTCCCGTACTCATGAACGTACCGTACCGATTCTCATGAAATTTTGTGTGCACATCGGGTAGGTCTGAGAATCGGCCAACATTTATTTTTCATACCCCTAAATGGTAAGGGTGACCCATCCCTAATTTTTTTTTTGTTTTGCAATACAACGTTTGCCGTGTCAGCTAGTGCTACCTATAAAATTTAGTAAAAAATATAATAATACTTAGAACAGTTACAATTGATCGAATATTCTCTCTCTCCTGCATGGACACCGGTGTTTGGGAGGACAGAACCCCCTGCTATCGGCTCCTGAATTTTAAGCAGGAGATCAGCGATCTCCTCCCCCACTATGTCTTCGCCCTGCGCCCTTACTTGTCTATAGGCTTCCGCCTTAGAAAAGACGGAGCCTGACGGAGCTGAAACCGGAGTGCGCGACCTCCCTCTTCGGCTACTTGCCACTTTGGGAGGCAGCCTCTCCCGCGACGTATCAGCATCTTCGTCGATGCAGCGTCCGCGTTGCCGGCTACCGCGGCACTCCACGTTTATCTGCTCCAGCGTGTCCATCGTCGTACTGGAGTTACTGTCCGATGGAATGGTGCACCTGCAACTTAGACGTTCCGATCTTCTTAGGCTCCGAGAATCCGGATTGATTTCTGTGAGCCGTTCCTCGATAGGCATCTCAGGCAAAAACTCAAATAAAAATAAATTTTATGCCCAACCGAGGGGCCTGCAGGTGTCTCGGCTGGGAGTGCGCTTGCGCTTGAACTACCCATCAGCCATTCAGCCATGCATCCCCTGGCCACGCACCAGAACACCCGTGTTCTAAGTAATAAATATAAATAAGAATACTCGGAGTAATTTTTTATAGAGCTTTCCATTCTCGCCGTCCGGGCGGCTAAACCAAGACTCTCGTCTCCGATCGGAATGGCGAGATATAACTACGAGACTTTTTTCGAGATTACGAAATGCCTACGGTGGCGTCAAGACAAAATCTTCCAATGCCTGCTCGGTGGCAGTGTCAGTACACACCGAGCCCGTCCATTTTCTTAACTCCGACTTATAGAAGGGGAACCCTTCTACGCGTCACCTTAGTTGTTTTTTACAGAGGTTTCCATCCTCATTGCTCCTAAGAGAAAAGAGCCCACAGAGGAGTCGACACAGAGTCGAGTTCACGCCAACGAGAACCAGTTCTCCGGTGTATCAGGCGTAATCATGAGATAAGACAGGATAGACAGAAGGATATCGTGACTGACGGTGTTGAATGCATCTGAGAAGTCAACTTAAGCCAGCACTGTTACTTTGGATTTCTCAATTCCTACTCGGATGTCAGTAGACTTTTAGAAGAGCAGAAGTTGTGCTATACCCGAGCTTGAACCCCGATTGGAAAGTAAGTTGTTACAGGGAATATGTTGGGATTGTTGGTAGTTCACACAGGCTTCGAGGACTTTTCGGATGGACTTCGGTGGTTAAGAAGTGTAGGATTTTGGATCTTAGAAAGGGGGATCTTAGATCTGACGAATGCTTTACGCCACGCTGAGAGATAAATCCCTGAGTCAAACGAAAAATTTGTTATAATGCGTAAGAACGGGAAGTAGGTGATCGAGGATAGGAATAATCATGTGACGGTTAATATTATCATTGTGATCTAGACATGGGACAAAACCACAGTGAACAGTTATTTATCATTCGATTTTTGCGTACGTAGGTTAGGGTTACTAGGCAGGTAGGTTAGACGCTATTTAACAGTAAATCTAGTATTTTTTAAATTATTATGTAGGGAATGGTCGTCATATATGATAAAATAATTACTGGATTTACTGTTAAATAGGTGAAATCGGATCTTTATGCATCGTCTGAAAACAGCTTATTAGCAACAACGCGAGAGTTAGTAGTAACCCTAACTTAAGTACAAAAAAAATCGAATTATAAATCACCGATCTTTCACAGTTCACTGTGATATTGTCCCATGCCTATTGTAATCCATAAATTTCTGTTCAGCGCCTATGTGTTCTTTATGTCCGTTTCAATAATATTTGTAGAATTGTTCGCGATACAAGATATATAGGGCGGGAGTTTTCTTTCATTTTTATCAGCCCGATTTAAATGGTTAAATACTGTATTTAGAGTGTGTACTTGTCTAAACATGAAATATAATAATAAAACATTTATTAGCAATCAGTCATGTAATGGCAAAATATTTTCTTACTTTGTTCGTTATTTAATGTGCGACAACAATAACAGCAGAATTCATTGTGTTTTAAAAATGTTTCCGGGTGAAATAAGCTGGAGTATTAAGTTCGTAAGAGAAAACTTCACCCTTGTGGTAGATGTCTACATCCTCGAAGAACATGTTAGGTTGTTTAAAGTAAGCAGCGTTAGCTGGACGGTCGAATGGGTAGCCCAAGGGTTTGTCATCCATGACGTAGTTCTTGAACATTTTTTTGTCCTTGCTGACTCCGCTGAAAGGATACACGAATACAAACAACTGGAATGGATGTCCACCGGGACTCCCCCTGGGTAACATTAGCCTTCTAGGCATGTTAACAGGAACAACAGACATATCATACGGAACCTTTCCTTCCTCTAAGTACTTGTAGATCTTAGATGCAGGAAGGCTGTCATCCTTGAAGAAAATGAACTGGCTAGATTTGCGTTCCACTTTGTTTTCTCCGGGAGTAAGTTTATGTACAAACCAGTCCAATTCATAGAACTTCATCCAATTTTCATCAATGTTTACTGGGTTACCCTTCCTATTATATTTTGGTCCAATAAAAATCTTGAAGACGGCGTCACAAGCTACATCAGACTTAAGTTCGATGTTAACGGAGAAAGGCTCGTGGTTAAGACGAGGCTGACGGATCAAGTAGCTGTATTTGTATTGTGCCAGTTGCTTGGCAGTGTACATCATACTGTTCGTAACATTGTAGTCAAAGTAATCGAAATAAGTGACAAGTTTGTCAACTTTGACGTCGTGGATCTTGACACCGACGAAATGAAGATCATCCTGAACATAAGGGTGCAGGTACTGCTTGTAATAAATTAAATAATTGACGATCCTCTGATATAATTGGTAGAATGCTGGGTCACGAAGAGAAGTTTGATAGAAATCTAAAGCACTTGGCATGAAAGTGTACCTGTAAAATAAAATATAACTATGTACTTACTAATATAATTACAAATTTCAATAACATAAATCATCTCTAATTATCTTGATGCTCTCAGAGCCCTATTCTTCTTAAAAAAAAATAGATTATCTAAAACCTTGTTTTCAAATCGTCTAGTTATTTTTAAATTGTCTTTTTTTAAGAAGTAAACAAATGCAGAAACAATAAGTTTAAATATTAGCTACTACATATTATTCAATTTTTTACAGAGATATACTTATTACTTTTATTTTTTGCCTTATTACCTATCTGCCTTTAAAAGAAGCATTTGTACTAGTGTACTTTTTATTAAGATAATTCAAGTATATTTGTCTACATATGTACTTACTTGTCCAAAGGCTTAGAACTTCCACTAAGTACACGGCGGGCAGTAATTTCGTAAGAGTGCTGATAATTTTCAATATGCTCCTCAGAGTACAAGTCAGCGTTTGTCTGCCAGTAGTTACCGACAAAGTTGATTGCCTTCGGGCTGGTGAAGTCTACTAATCTATTAAACTGAAAATGAAAAATAAATATTTCTATTTTTTCTTAAAATTTTAAATATATATATTAACACTTTCAGAATACGTACAGCCTTAAAATGACCTTGTTGCAGGTACTGGAAGAAATTCTTCTCATAAGCATCCAAGAAACGGATGGCTTCGTAGTTCTTCTCAGTATGAATGTCATAGTAGTTACTTCTTTGAGCAAATGGTAGGAAACCAGTACTTAATTGTGGGTAATAACCAGTCTTAAATGGCAAATACCAAGAGAACTCGAAAGGTTCACATATCCTACTAGTGACACGCTCCATGTCGTAACGTGCCAACAGTTGCACATAGAAGTGGAAGTAGATCTCGCCACGACGTTCTTTGAATGCCCCGATTTTTTTAGAGTGCCACCAGAAAGGTAGGTGAGTGTGGAAATAGTAATAGTAAGCGTTCAAACCAATGTCCTCAGTGAAGTACGCTAACTTTTGTTCTATGTTGGGATACGTTAGTGAGCTCGAATAATTTGCGTAGAAAACATAGTTATTCTGTTCCTTTACTATGCCGTAATCGGTATCAAACTTTTCAATGTTGTGGAATTGTTTCGCGTACATTTTGTAGAAAACGTCCATGTTAAAGAAATACTGAGGATAGAGTTCATAAGGTGCAGGTAAAACAATTCCTTGGGTATCATCTCTTTGAAGTACAGCAATGTAATATGAGTATAGAAACTGTCCTTCGTTGAGGTACACTTTAGCCCAAGCTGCAGTTTTGTAGAAGGTTTCGAAGTCCTTAGCGTAGTACATTACGTGGAAAAGAGCGATAGCTTCATCCCTCATCCTTTCATAAAATATTGAAAACACATGATATTTGGGCATGAAACCGGTTCTGTACAACACCAAGAAATCCTCAACTGCTTTCTTGTTCTGCAACAAATAGAGCGGACTGTTATCTACACTTTACACTTTAGAGTTCTATAATCCATACTTCTATTTTTATATTATGACTGTGTAAGTGAGTTTGTTTGCTACACTTTCACGCCTAAACCACTAAACCGATTTCAAAAATGATTTTATTATAGAAAGCTACATTATCAGCAATTAATACAGGGTACTTCTTACCGCGATAACCATCAACAACGCGGGCGGAGCCGCGAGCAAAACATAGTAAAATACAAATGGTAAGAACTTACAGTATACTTGTCGATGTTCGCTTCTATGTCGTAGTTCAACCCAGCCTTATGACAGTCCGCCGAATGGTCATTTTCATCTATACTCTCGAACAAAGAGAGCACTTTATTTTGCTTGAAAACAAAGTCTGCATCAACTGTTAACAAAAATGAATAAGCACTAAGAAAAAATAATTCAGTATATTTAAATATTGTATTTGAATATGTTATCTGGTGGGAATCATAGTGCCTCGGCCTTAGATTTGTTAGATATTAAGCTTTTCATCTTATAATACATTTTAAGTACGACATGACAGCCGTTAAACTTAATCGGTAGTCATGTCGTCAATCAAAATTTTTCAAAACCATAAATGAGAGTACATAAAGCACCAAGTATGATCTATGATCCTAAGAAATGCGTGCGTCTTCCGCGTGTCTACCAAATCAAATTAATTGGTAGGAGTACTTGTATTCGGATAAAAAAAATGTAGCACTTTGTGAAATATTGTAGAGTACTATGTTTGATTTTTGTATTTATCTTTCTTCCCGCCCTTTGCCCAACTTTATTCATAGTCGGTTCAATGTTTTCACATTGCAAAGAGTTTTCAGGGTTACGTACCTCAAAAGGTAACAAAGGAACCCTTATAAGATCACTTTCTTGTCCGTCTGTCCGTCTGTCCGTGTGTCACCACCGATTTTCTCAGGAACGGGTAGAAACGGAAGAACGGGTTGAAATTTATACCAAATACTGAGGTCTATAGTCCCTATTAGGTGTATAAAAGTCAAGGTCCTGAGTCAACTCGATAAAAAGATATGGGCAAATTTCGATTTTCTCGAAAACTGTATATGTACCAAAATTTACCTTAATTTTCAACTTTTTTTATTATTCAGAATTTTCTCTTTACTTGTGCTGTAAGACTTTGCATTTAACCAAACATTTTCAACCGGAAGTACCCTATAGGTTTTGGGTCGAAAACCTAAATGGTAGTTCCCGTTAACCTAGAATCACGAAATTTGGCAAAAAGAAACGTCTTACAGCACAAATAAAGGAATAATTCCAAAAAATAAAAAAAGTTGAAAATTAAGATATATTTTGGTGCTTAAAAATTTTCGCGAAAATCTGGTTAGGTCTCGTCGCACAAGTTCGACTTCTACCTGACCGGTTCTTTTTTTATTATGCCTGCCTTCCTGACGTAAATGTAATTATTTTCAGTCAGCAAAAAGGAACAAAAAAAAGGATGGGAAATAAAAAACGGATAATTTGTGGGATCCATGGTAAAGGGTATTGTTGGTCTCAGATGGGTAAAACGGGACTAATATTGTAGCTGGGATCGCGTACTCTTCTATCGTTTCATTGAAGACGCCACAAAACCAGGGATATTAACATCAAGATTGTTCGAATTCACTACATACTACTGTACTACTTTAAAAAGATACAGTTTACGGAATATTCTTATACATTGTTGAATATCAATAGAGCAGTAACGAGATAAAACTAAAGCAAGTTAATAATATTTTAAAAACTCAAAATTTGTTTCTCACCAGTGTTAAATTTGTAATCACGGTGTGGGACGGCGATACCCAAAGAAATCGCGACAAGCCCCAAGGAGATCACAACAGTCTTCATCGTTGCACTAATTCTGCCTTATCGATCTGCACTGGCTCTACTTATAACAAGTTACAATAATAATCTATGATGCGTCATCAACTGAATAGTTGATTAACCCTTATAAGTGAATAACAAATAAAGGTTAACCAAAATTAAACAATATATGCGTATAGAAACTTAATTTATGTGTCATAATGTCATCAGATACCTGACATACTAGTACCGCATGAGTCCAATGCCCAGGGCCGGATTAACCATTTGGCAGGGTAGGCAACTCCCTAAGGGCCACGCATCAGTTATGCGCCCTAGGCGCTTCCAAAAAATTTAATTAGAAAATCCTTCAACATCAACATTTGTATGAAAAACTAAAAGTTTTGAAATGTTTACCCAGTAAATACGATTTGTAAGTTTTACGACTGCTAATTAATTTCATTTTAAAGGTTTTACTGTGCTCTGTGTTTTAAACTTATGAAGTTGGATAGAAAAGTGCTAAATATTTTTTATATTTAAAGAATAATATTAGTTCGGAATGCAGCCGGTTAGCGTAAACTTCATTCGCATTGAGAGAATCCTCGATTCGTTGGATGCACTACACAGTGATTTGTAAGTGACGACAATTCAGAAAAAAAATACTGAGCTCTGTCGTTTCAAACTTAATAGTATGAGATATTTTATAAAGACCGCCAGTTTGGCAGTGTTCTATCTGTGTAACTATCCTCCATCTACTGGAAAAGTATACTGCTTTCAATGTTTTTTTTTTGCCGAAGATCGTTAAAGGCAATTGAAAAGAAAGAAAACAATAGCACGGGAATAATGGAACGCACCAAAAATATGTACACACACTGATTAGTAGACGATATTTATTCCTATAGTAAATAACAAAGAGAAAAATCTTGCCGCTGCAAACTTATTTATTTAAATCAAATATGCGTCAAAAAAGTTGTCACAATGGTCTACAGGCCTATATTAAGAAAATAAATATTTTGGCACACTACGTTACCATGTGCAGCTCACTCACTGAAGTTAGAACAATTATTTGAATTTGTACAGACAATTTCTTTTATGGCGTCAACTCATTGCTGGGCAACTATGCTGAACCATGTCGATAAAGGTTTAATGCTGGAAAATGTGTCCGACACAAAGTGGTGTACAAGAGCCGATTCGACTAAGACTTTGTCAGAAGGTTACAAGAGTGTCCAAAAAGCTTTGCAGTCTATTGATTGCGATGAGACGCAAACATCGCAAGCAATTCACAAGGCTCGATTTCTATAAAAGACTTGAAAAAAATAGAATACGCCGAAAATATTTTGGGCTAAAATACTGAATCGATTGAACTTCAAACTGCAGTCGAAAACAATAATATTTGACGATTACGAGATAAAAGTAAATGAAGGGACTAATCCTGAAAAAAGTGATAAGCGTGTGCTAAGAAGATATATGCATCACGGTGACAGATTTGCAGACGAAGTTATGAGCAGAGGAAAAGATTAGTTAAAGATTAGAACATATTTGCCTGTACTACACATGAAAAGGCCAAAGATTAAATTAAAGAGGCTTATACAAAGTTTAGTAAACATTTTTCCAAGGACATTGAACCTAAGTTTATAAACGAAATGGTGCAGATCAAGTACTTCTTACAATTAGAGAATGCGTGGATTGCGGGGAAATACAAAATTGTACCTACCAAAGAATCGTTTAACTTAGTTTTTTGATGTATTGGAAAAGGTCAACTTTCAAGATGTTTTCTTGTGCCATAAGTTTCTGAGGAGTTAAGCATCAGTCAGGTGATGCTGCTGATGCTATTATTCATAATCCTTCATCGACTTACAAAGAGCTGAATCTTCAAACGTGTGAAAAGGGGCCCTGAGGATTACATTGCCTAAGGGCCCCGACATGCCGACATGATTAATCCGACCCTGGCAATGCCTCGATGCCTTTTTGGGTGCTATTACTGTCAAAAGTATGGATGTGACCAAAAATTCCCGGGAATCGGTACTTTGACCAAAAATTCTTGCGTGAATTAGAATTCTGAATGATAATGAATCTTGTGCTTCTATACAACTTTTTTTTTCTATATAATTCATACTTCTCGCAACAAAAATATACATATATGTCAGGATTTTTTTAATAAGGAAATGAAACAATCATTTCATCATGATCGTAGAATAATGTCGGTTTTGAAAAAAATACGAACTTCAGTTTTACTAAATTTGGATACTACATTATCTAAATATTATTATTAGATTTAAGTTTTTTTTATGTATTTTAGATTTTAAATTATTCTGTGTTTTTTGATAGACGCTCAAAGTAAAATGAATCATGTGATTTTTCTAGAAAATTGTAAAATTATTAGTTGTTATTTTTATTGCATTTTAAAACAAACCATTTTTCACTTGTATGCCAAGTTTCATAATTACAAATTTAGAATTTAAAAAGTTATGTCAAAAAAATAACATAATTATTTAAAATGGCTGCCTTGTAAAGTTCAAAAAATGTCTGATCCGACACTATTCTACGACTATGACGATTTAATAGATAGTAGATACTTAAAGTTTATTTTTATTAAAAAAAGAATAAAGTCTCAGAATAATCTCGAATAATTTCTAAGTCAAGATTCCTTTCCATAACGTTCTCAATTTTTTTTATTTATATTTGCAGATGCTTTCCAATTTAATACATTTTTTACATTATCGAATGCAAGAAATGCGTCACTGATCATTATACAACTTTTTTCTAATTCAAGTATATGTTATAATTCTTATAATATGCATAAATATCGTTTAAATTTGCTTCTAAGTTTTCTTTAATTACTACATTTTTTGCATTTCCTATTGCTAAGGATACTGGACTCCTTA